CGATTGCCAGCATAGTAGGCCCTTTTTTGACAGCGCAATGTAATTGCCGCCAAACTGGCAGGCCTATAAGCGCTAAATCGCCCGTTGTGCCTCTGAATTCGCTCACTGTTTTTCGACAATTAAATCTCAAAGTGGGTTAATGTTGAACTAGGAAAATAAATGTTGTGCTCCTGATACTAAACAACGCTTACAGGGCTAATTAAAAGAGAATGTGAGTTTTTAGGGTTTTTTCGTCGGCGCTCTAATGCGGAACTCTAATCTAAAACCGGGAAATTTTGAGAATTGAACATGATTCAGTGAAATTATTTACAAGTATGTGAGCGGAGCAATCGGATGGGAAACTGGTGAATCGCCTTTAGTGGGTGGCTCCTCTGGACAAAACAAGAATCAACATCTTAGTTGGAGCGTTTATTTCCAATATGTTGCAGCCGTTCGATTAAGGTGAGAAGATGTTCTTGAGCATTCTGGAAAGCTGATCGCTCAATCCCTCCGAGCCTGCAACTGCAGTGGCTTCGCATCCAGCCTGTTCCGGAGCAACGCAAACAAGATTCTTGGGGTTGAAGTGTTGGCCAGTGGCGCACTGCAGTTCCACAGACCGGCCATGGTCGCACGCCACATACTTGGAGCAGTCGTGCGGATGAGCCTGCAGGAAGACTTTTCTGGGATGCGCCAAGCACAGGTAAGCCACATCACCCGGATAGGCTGGAGATGTGGGAATTTTGTGCTGTTGAGCCGATTTGCATCCAGCGTCCCTTGGAGCTACGCAGGTCATTTTGGAGGGGCTGAAATGTAGGCCTGGAGCGCATCGAGCAATGGAAGGCTTGCCCAGGTTGCAAACTATGTAAACGTGGCAGGCGTTCGGATGTGCGCTTAGGAAGAATGGAAGCGCTCTGCTCAAACAGGCCTCGGCTAGCTGGCTTTGTGATAAACCGGGATCTGCAATTGCATTTAGAGTATCAGCGTATGGAACCTAGCGAGATGTTCGGGTCCGCCATTCAATCACTATCAGACAAGCAACAGTATATTTCGTTAAGATATACTCAAATAAAATTGCTACAAAAATATGTTCCCAGATGTGTGTTCTAATGAACCTAAAGCAGCGTCCTCAAAAATTCTGCAATCCTGCTACTGAGACTCTTTGTTTCTGGCGCAGTCGTCGCGGCGCATTTAGCGGCGTCGGGAGAGTCGCAAGTTTTATTCGCGCGGTTGAAGTGCAGACCAGGCGGACAACTGAGAACTGCGGTCGTTCCGTATCTACATACGATGTATTTGGAACAATCATGCGGATGAAAGTGCAAAAACAACTCTCCCGAATTTGCTCTACAGATGTACTCAACATCCCCTGGATAAGCTGGACCTAAACTAGTGGGAGTTTCAGTAGCAGTTGGGACAGTTGCGGGGTCTGTAGACGTTGAAGAGGTCGCTGGTTCGGTTAAATCTGAAACAAGAAGGACTCTTCAGCCCCAAGTGGCGAGTTGAGCTTTAAACACTGACAAATGATGCGGGCTCCCAAATGTGCTGAGGTGAACTTGCGTGCCCAAAAGTGTAACTCATCCACTGATTCAACTGAACTACCCACTATTTTATGTTCCGATTGAGATCGGGGGGTGGACGAGTTAAACCGCGAACAAATCCACAAATATCGGAAGCGATTGAGTGAAATTATTTACAAGTATGTGAGCTGAGAAGTCGGATGGGAAATTCGAATGGAAGCGCAATATATACAGCTGTGCAGTGTAGGCCTGGGTAACACTGTTGAGTTGCTCTATTGAGTTATAACTCATTGGTTAATG